TCTTTAGCCAAGATACCCAAATATTACCATTTCAGCATCTCAGTGTAAAAATCATTAAAGAGATCTTTGACTTGCTTTCTTCCTTCCAAGTTGCCGAAAACTGTTGTGTGTCTTACACTCACGGCTCCTCTCAGCCTGCACGCACCATATTTTAAGTGCCCCCAGCTGCGTTTCCAGAGGGGACAGAGCCCTTGTCCCTCCTGGGGAGTAATGTTGCACCTCCCTGTGCCTGGTCTGCAAAGCTGGGCAGGGGCTGGGCACCCAGTAGGTGGGCAGGGGCTGGGCACACAGCAGGTGCACAGGGCCCGGGAGCTGCCTTTTCTCCTCCAAGAACCCACCAGTGGCCGGTCTGGAAGCCTCCAGACCCTCCCCTCTCAGACTCTGCTCCCTCAGATTGTCCAGAAACTGGTGGCCTCTGCGGACCTCCTGCTGCTCAGGGATCGCTCCCAATGCAAATCTCACCCCCAAAGCAGACGGGAGCAGAGACAGTGGTGCCACCGCCGGCCCAGGCAGCCATGTGAGGCTGGATTAGGGGCGGCCCCTATGCCTGGTCATGTCCAAGTGGCACATGATGGGCGGGACTCAGCGTTCCATGTCAGCTCGGGTTGGGGGCGGGGGGCCCAAGTGCACACAGCCATGGTCCCCATGCCTGGTGCCTGGGCTCTGGGCTCGGGCTCGGGCGGGGGTGGGGCAGCAAGTGGAAGGAAGCCCCTCTCCTGCTCAGAGCCACCTGTGCCTTCTAGGCCTTCTCAGCGCTCACAGCCTTCCAGCCCTGACCCCTTCTCCAGCTTCATGTCTCCCCTCCCTATGGTTTGCTCTGGACACTCCCCTCCCGTTCCTGGAAAATCCCGTCCGTTTTCTGGCCTCTGGGCTTTGGCACATGCTGTTCCCTCTACCTGGAGCCCCCTTCCTTGCTCTCAGCCTGGTCTGGGTCACTCTGATCCTCCCTAGGGTCTCAGCTTACACATCACACCATCACGAAACCCTTGACAAGAGTCCTGACTCTGTTACGGTGACTGTTAGAAAGTCCTGCCTTGCTCGGGGTCCCCGGGGGCCGTGAGTTGTCCTTGGAATATGAGGTTCACCCCCGACTCTCCTGTCTCCCCTGCCTCCTCCCCCATCCCATGGAAGAAGACAGCTGAGTTGGGACACATCCATGCACCCCCTCCCCACAAGCTCAGTTCCAGGTTACAGAAGAGACAGGTAGGAGGGGCCAGGTTGGCCCAGCCTTGCTCTGTAGATGAGGAAATAAGCCTGGGGTGGGCTCCGGTGGCCAGAGGGTGGAGGCTGCCAAGCGTGAGGGGGGACAATGATGGTGGAGAGGGGACCTAGGATGGGCCTCAACTCCCCGGAAGAAATAGAGCACCGGTGCCAGAGCAAAGCCAGCGCAGGGTCGTCACGAGGAAGGTCTGTCTTACATGGAGTAGTAAGCTCCCCATCCCTGGAGGCATACAAGCAACAGCACAGGTGCAGGAAAAGGAGCTGGAACCATGTACAGGGGCTGATTTGAGCCTTTAGAGCATTTCCCTTCAGCTCTCAAGATTTAGGCATGGTCCAAAGTCACAGGCAAGGCCTGAAGGGGGCCTGTCCCACCCACCCAGGCCATCCCCCCTCTCAGGGCCAATCATTAATTGGCACCGCTCGAGTGGCTGCTCCCACGAGTGCCCCCGGCTGCCTGCCAGCTCATGGCCCAGCTCCCATCCGGGGCACCCGCATGCCTCTGACGTGGGCCGGCCTCACAGCTCGGCCCCACTTCCTGCTTGTGACTCCCAGCAGCTGGGCCCAGGGAGGGCAAGGTGCACGCTCAGACCACCATCACAGCTCCCAGCGGGACTCCTACTGCCTACAGGACCCAGCCCAGCTCAGCCTGCAGCCAGAGCCCTCCTAGCGGAGCGCGGGGTCCTCCTCAGATGGTAGTGAGGAGCCGGGGAGGGCTTCAGGCCGGGCGGGAGACCCCGGGGGGCAGAGCGCAGGGGGAGCCTTTGGCAGGTGCAGAGCTGGTGTGGGGCTGAGAGACCCCGGGAGGATGAGGCACCAGGATGTGACTTCAGCCTGGTTGTGGACGAGGAAAAGCCAGGAGGGCTGAAAGAGGCATTCCCCTGCCTGCCCAGAAGGGAACTAAGATGTGAATAAGCAGAGCAGAGGGGAAGGGCCTCCCGGGGTGAGAAGCAACAGGAGCAAAGTCCCCAGGAGGGAACGAGCCAGCAAGCTCAGGGAAGGGGAAGGTCGGCTGTGACTGAAGCTCTAGCTTTGAAAGGGATGGCAAGAGACAGGGGTGAGGTATGGCAGGAGCTACTCAGACTTCAAGCTAAAAACTTTATCCTGGGCAATAGGGAGCTACTGCAGGTTTTGGAGGAAGGGAGTGACACAGCATGGTCAGGACTGGGTAGGAGTCGGAGGAAGGAATTGACAGCTGCCAGAGGAGGGCCAGTGAGGCAGGCCCTGTGGTGGCCAGGAGAGAGAGTGGAAGGATGGACAGGAGGAGCAACATCAGGTTTCTGCTGAGACGACTGGGTGCTCAGTCCAGCGGGGAAGGCTGAGGATGGAGATTTAAGCAGTAAGATGCTGAGCATGTCGAGCCAGAGGCTCCCATGGGTCAGCTCGACAAGTGGTCCACAGGGAGTGGCCACAGCTGGCCTTGGCCCCAGGGGAGAGCTGACAGGGGCGGGGCTGGGAGGAGCAGCCAGAGAGGAGGCCCAGGCCGGCTGGGGCCCAGCCAAGGAGGAGGGCTCAGTTGGCCACACGAAGGTCACGAACGGCCTGAACGAGGGTGGTGGGAGAAAGAAAATAAAGGACGGGGACAGTGGGTGTGGCCATCTCTGCGGAAAAGTTTGCCCCTGAAATGCTCATGCAAGTGAGAGGGGGTGTCTTGGGTGAAGCAGAGCCTGAGATGCCCGACCCTGCAGGGAGCCCATGAGGAGCATCACAGTGCAGCCCCGCCTTCCCGCACAAGGAGGCTTTATACCTCCGCAACCCCGTGGGCAGAGGGCTGGTCTCCAAGAAGGAACAGCAGTGAGATGGGAGCTGAGATCCTTACAGCACCAAGGGATGCTCAGAAAAAGTGACCTGTGTTTGCTATCGGGGGGCCAGTCGCTGGCAGGAGGGCCAACGCTGCTCCTCTGGTTTTTGGAGGGTTCATAGGAGCCTGGCATTTACTGAGGCGCTGTTGGCGAACCTCCCTGCCTGGGGTCTGGCCCTGAGGAGAGGCTCAGAGCAGCCAGGTCTCCCTCACCGCCTAGGTCTCAAGGTCCTGCATGAAGGGTGATCTCACACCTCTCTTCAGGCCACGGGACCGTTTCCCCTGCCCGCCCTCTTTTGCACAGTGAGGCAGTGAGGGCTACCCAAAACGGGGAGGAGACTGGGTATGAACCCAGCTTCACCGTGGGCCCACGGGCAACCACACAACTTCCCTGGCCTCAGCATCCATAGCTGTGCAGTGGGCATGCTCACAGCTGCCTCGGAGCCCCGGAGTCTTGCAGGGGGGGCGGGAACCACACAGGCAAGTGGGCACCTGGCATGAAGCGGGCACAGGTGCCGACACCCTCCCAACTGCGGGGGAGGGGGCAGGTAGCCCCACCCTCTCCTGCTGGCACCTGGAGGGAGGAAGCTGCACTTGGGTGGTGGGGCCCCAGGGAGGGGGCGGTGCCACTGTCCTGGCTGTGCCAGGTGCCACCCACAGGCTGCTCACCGCAAAGGGGCCCCTGGGGGCTTCCCCCTGTGCCTCCCCCAGCCCCACACAGGCGTTCCAAGCCCTGAGGAGCTCAGCCCTGGCCTGCGTCCCGGCAGCTGTGGCTCTGCTCGGCAGGCAGGCTCCCTGGCCCTCTGGGAACGGAAGGACACATTGTACCCACACGTTTGGAGGCCCACCTGTGCCCGCAGGTTGGTGTCGGGGTAACAGGGCACCCCTTGCACGCCCAGTGCTGGGCCCTGTCACCACTCTCCACCCTCTGACCCTCACAGTGGCCTGGAGGGGCAGAGCCTTTCACCAGCCCCGCCCTCACTCTCACAACAGCCGTTGACTAGGCACCTACTGCATACAGGCCCTGGGCACCCAGATGGAGGGACTGCTGGAGCAGAACTCCTGTTACAAATGAGGAAACTGAGGCCCTGAAGGCCACACAGTGGCTTCCATGCAGGTCAGACTCAGTAAGTCCCAATTTCCCTCTAAGTCCTCAGTCTCCTTCCCTGGAAAATGGGCGCTACGAAGCCTCCCCCAGGGCCGTGAGGACAGGGAATGGGGCGTGTGGCCCAGGCTCTGTGCAAAGCCCAGCGGGGCGCAGCCAGCAGAAATCTTGCCACCCTCTTGATGTGTTCTGGTGGCTGCCACTGCCCATGGAAATGGAGGCCCACCCACTTCCATAGTCCCGACTCCCTCTGTGCACCCCACCCACCCCGCCTGCAGCCAGCCAGACTCCTCGCTGCCCCGAGGCGTCCCACCACAGTGTCGCTCGTGCCTCTGCTCACACTGTTCCCTCTGCCCAGAATCCTTTCCACTCTCGGAGCCACAGCCACACTTATGCAGCACTCCCTGGGGACCGGGCACCAGTCACCCTGCAGAAGCTGTTACTCTTACCCCATTTCCAGACACAGACACGGAGACACAGAGAGACAAAGCCTGACACCAAGGTGCTCTAACACTGCCCCGCCTTGCCCACTGCCACCCTGCCCGCTCACATCCACACCAGGACGGTGTTCCCCAGCCCGACATCCAGAGCAAGCGCCCTCGTCCATTCATGCAGACTGGCTCCTGTCGACACCTCCCTTGTCCCAGATGTGACGGGGTCCCAGAGGGCCAGGCCAGGTCGGGGTTTCCCTGGGGTCCTGGGAGTCCAGCAGGCCAGGCCCAGAGAAGTGCTACGACAGCAAAGACATCGTCCAGCGGTTGCAGAAAAGGGAGTGTGGGCAGCCTGGCCTGGCCCTCCGTGGGCAGGTGGGTGGCCTGGCCCCCAGCACCCAGAGCACCGACGGCAGGGTCCCCGCGAGCCCAGAGGCTCCCTTACCTACTCGGAGCTCTTGCCCAAAGACAGTCTTCTCGCCGAGGGCAGAGCAGTTCCAGCGTCCGAAGCGGAACTGGTACTGGCACTCGTTGATGCCCATCTGGGCCCCCTCCCCGATCACGATGATGGCATCGGGCCGGCTCTGGCAGATGGCGCGCTGCCGTGGGGCCAAGCCGGGGATCTTGTTGCAGATGATGTTGGCTCCCAGGGCCACGACGGACGACAGCGCTCTGCAGGGAGGAGGGCATGGAGGAGTTGAGAAGGCTGGGCAAGACCCCTCCTTCCCTAGTCGGTCTCCGTCTGCAAACGTGTTCCAGGAGCCCACCGCGTGCCAAGCTCTGCCCTCCAGGGAACACAGCGCAGATCCCTGCCCTCCGGGGGCCACGTTCCACTGACCCACACGCATGATTCTGGCTTGAAAAGGCACACACGCCTGCCCTCTCTCAGCCTCAAAATCACAAGAACATGATTGCAAGAACCATGAATCAACCAACAGTCCCACGGAATGCAAGAACCACGGCTCTCCACGCTTCGGAATCAGATACACAGACCCTTCCAGGATTCGACAACCATTAACCTGGAACTGTCCACAGCTGCCCCCTCAAGTAGCGCATCCCAACTCCCAGACAACTGAGGCTTTTCCATCACTTGGCAATCCCTGGGTCCCCGCTTCCCAGGGCTGCCTGGGCCAGACTGGGAGCCAAGCCCACCAGGTCCTGACTCCAGCCGCAGCCCATGTGTGACCGTGGGAAGACACTCTGCCTCTCTGAGCCTCAGTTCTCACACCTGTGACATGGGGTACAAACACTGGTTCCCAGCACCATCGCCACACAGTCTCAGACCAGGGAACTGCAGGGAGAAAGCGACACGCGTGCGGATGACTCTCAATACTCCCTAGTTTCTGGACGACTGGGTGCCCTCAGGGGAGAAAGCAGGGCTGACGCAAACTGAGCACCTACTGTGCGCTGGACTCAGCAGGATGCTTTATTGCAACATCACATCCTCATGCGGTCCCCTGAGGGTGCTCTGTGATTAACCTCCTGGTACCCTCCGGGAGCTGAGGCCCCAGGCAGGAGGACACAGGCTGGGCTCACTCCCTCTTCACCTGGGTGTTATCAGCGTGGTTCTTTGTTTGTTTAAGGAGGTGAAATCCACATAGCAGAACGGTAACCGCTGTAAAGTTGTACAGCACTGGGTACATTCACAGTGTTGTTCAAACACCACCTCTGCCGAGTTCCGAGGGGCTGTCACTTCCCCAGGAGGAAACCCCGTATCCCTTAGCAGTCACTTCCCTTTACTCCTCCCCCAGCCCCTGGCGACCACTAATCTGCCTTCTGTGCCTGTGGATTTGCCTGTTCTGGACATTTCTTATAAATGGAATCATACAACATGTGACCTTTTGTGCCTGGCTCCTTTCACTTAGTATGGTGCGCTCAAGGTTCACCCACGTTGTCTCATGAATCAGCACTTCCTTCTTTTTATGGCCAAGTAACATTCCATTGTCTGGAGAGACCACATTCTCTGTGTCCATTCATCACTGATGGACACTTGGGTTGGTTCCACCTTTTGGCTCTTGTGAATGATGTTGCCCTGAACACGTGCACACAAGTTTCTGAGCACCTGTTATAAGTTCTTCGGGGCAGGTACCTAGGAGTGGAATTGCTGGGTCCCGTGGTGGTTGTGCTTTTTGAGGAACTGCCAGACGGTTTCCCACAGAAGCTGCACCAGTTGGTTTTAAGCACCAGAGGAGATGGGGCGGTGAGCTAAGGGTGGGGGTGCTGGTTCCTGTAGAGCTACGGGCATGAGGTGGGTTTCAAGACAGCGTCTGGCTTCAAACAACAGAACAGGGGGCAAAAGGTGGAAGTGGGGAGGCCACGAGGGGCTCCCCAAAGCTGATGCCCAGGCCCCAGCCTCCTGGCTCAGTGAGCTCCCTCCTTCTGCCCACGGCCTGCCAACCCTTTTCTTGAGAGAAACGAGTCAGTGTTTTTCCAGGGCAGCCGAGCACCCACAGCCAGATGGGAAAGTCCCCGTGTGGCATGAGCCCACAGCACGTGCTGCGACCAGAACGCCGCGGTGACACTCAATCCCCGTGGCCCGCCCGCCCCGCCCACTAATCTGGCCAAGACCCCCCTGGGTCTCCCACGGGCACAATGGGCAGAAATGCCCAAGGCTGGCGTGGAGGAAGAGCATCTGGTCGGGTGGGGCTGGGAGCGGGCTGGAATCTGGGGAATTCAGCCCCAAGTAATTGTAGATGCTCAGAAAACCGACCCGAGGAAATGAGATGGATGGGAACCCTGCCGGGCACCAGCCTCCAGGCCTCGGGCGGGAGCCCGGACGCTAAAAGCACGTTCCCAGATTCTTCCAGCAGGCTCTAGGCTGCAAAGGCCCCGGTGCCAGCGTAAGAGCCCCTGCTCCTGGGGGTAAGAGTTCAGACAAACTGGGCCATGGGGGAGCCCCAGTGGGACTTGGGATGGACCCGGGGGCAGAAACTGATTACTGCAGCTCTGGTCTCCCTCCTCCAGGCAGGCCATCCCAGCCTGCACCCCCTCCCATCCCGCTCAGAGCCCGCCCGTAGCCCCCCCCCAGCTCCTTTCCTCAACCTGGAGGCCTCTTGGGACTGGCCTGACAAGCTGCTGCCTCTGCGTGTGCTTGTCCCTCTGCCTGGGAGGCCGCCCTCCCTCCCTTTTTCTGTCTGACAAACTCTCCTTCCCTTCCAGGGCCAAGTTCAAGCCTCCAGGCACTGAGGACATGCACAGTGGACACTTGTCACCCCCGGTCTCACTGTCATTGTTCCACGCCCAGCTCCCCCACCAGCCCACACAAACCTCAAGGGCAGTGCCAGCTCTGAGCTGACCCTGGGGCCTCGGGCTGCCTCGTGCAGCCAACTATGAGTGTGTGTGGACAGGATGGATGAAAGAACGAATGAGCAAACACTCAGGGATTATGTCTAAAAGAGCTTCTGCAACTCAGTCACAAGAAGACAGTCCAATTTAAAAATAGGTGAAGGCCTTAGACATTTCTTCAGAGGGACAAATGGCCAGTGATCACGGAAAAGATTCTAAACATCACTCATTAGGGAAACACAAATCAGAAACACAGAGAGGTGCCACCTCAGAGCCACTAGGACGGCTGTGATCAAAACAACAGAAAACAACACATGTTGTCAAGGATGTGGGGAAACTGGAACCCTCGTGCATTGCTGGTGGAATTGTAAAATGGTCCAGCCGCTGTGGGCGAGAGTTGGAAAGGTCCAACTCAAAAAGGTAAACACAGAATGACCATAGGACCCAGGAATCCCACTTCTAGGCGTATATCCGAAAGAACGAAGGCAGGTGTTCAAACAAAAACCTGTACACAAACGTTCATAGCAGCGCTAATCACAATAGCCCAAAGGAGGAAATAACCCAGATGTCCCTCAACGGCTGGGTGGCTAAACAGAATGTGGTCTACCCAGACAATGGAATATTACTTGGTCATAAAAAGGAATGAAGTCCAAAGATATGCTACATGGATGAACCCCAGAAACATTATGTTCAGTGAAAGAAGCCAGACACAAAAGGCCACATCTTGTCTGATTGCTCGTGTATGAAATGCCCAGCAAAGGTGGATCCACAGAGACAGGGACAGGGGCTGGGGGAGGGGGAATGGGGAGTCACTGCTTAATAGATGTGGAATTTCCAACTGGTGTTACGGAAAAGCTACAGAATTAGGGGGAGGTGATGGTTACACAACTTGTGAATGTACTTAACACCACAAAATTATATCCTTGAACGTGGTTAAAGTGGCGAATTTTGTGTTAAATGAATTTGAAACACAGATTTTAAAAATTCTGTCTCTATACAGGACTTCCATACTCTCAGGCATAGGTGGGATGGGTGGAAGGGGACAAGAGGGGCCTTGCCCACAGACACCCCGCTTTTACTCACTTAATGCTTCCCCAGGGCGAGGGTGCCGATGGAGTAGGGGCCTGGAGCCCCCAGCCCGGCTCCAGCATGCTAGCGCATGGATTAGAGGTGAAACAGAGGCTTCAGAGAAGACAGTCAGGAGCATAAATAAGCAGGTACAGTTGATAATTCAGAAATGACTTCAAACTTGTCTCCTTTAGAACCTGAGGATTTTCCCCCTAAAGGTACCAGATACTCCCCTTCTGAGCACCGGTCTTGGACGACACGCTCCTCTGCTGTGTCTCAGGCCTCTCCAGGCAAGATAAGCCTGGCCATTTCCACACTGCAAGTGCGCAGACTGGAGCTCAGAAAGGCTAGCGGACCCACCCCAGGCCACACAGCCATGTCCCTGCTACCAGAACCCAGGTGGAAGCAGCCCCGTGGCTCGGGGCACAGCACAAAACACAGCTCAAAACACAGGCTGACATGGTTCCCTTGATCAGAATCCTCCAGGTCACTTGCTCCTTCGTCCAGGTTTATGGACAGCTTCCAGTGCTGGCTTCTGAGGTCTGACAACCGGTCTTGGCGCCCTGTCCATCCCCCCTGACAGCCCCACACGTCTGCCCTCTGCCCTCCCTGTGCAGGCCTGGCCCTGCCACCGCCTGGGACCTGCCCACGCTGTTCCTTCTGTCTGGAGGAGAGGGGGCTGCAGATGCCAGGGCCCGCGGCTGGCTGGCATTAGGGGACATCAGTGTAGGAAAGGGGTAATACAGTATGACTACGTCACTGCTGCTCTGGAGGGCAGAGGAGGGCGGACCAGGCGGTGTTCCGGGGTAGCCGGCAGTTTGGGGGTGAGGACGTGCTAGGGGTGCTCTCCTCAAGCTGTCCCACAGGGCCAGCCCAGCTCTCACCCCAGGTGCCCCGGGAGAGGCTGGCAGCGAGGCCCTGCATGTCCCCAAGAACAGGGAAGCCAAGCGGGGAGCTCGTGTTTCTGTCACTGACTTTCTTCATGGAAAATTCTGCTGCGGCTCATCCCCCTGCGCTATTCAGGGGCCTCAGGACACAGACAAGATGCCAGGAGATGTGGGCAAAGCTGAAAGTCTGGAACTTTCCTCACCACTGGCCTGGGCCAGTCCCACAAAGGGAGCTTGGAGGACGTGGGTTTCAGGTGCTGCAGACAAGCCGCTGCCTCGTTCCCACCTGCAGGGCTGAGGACCGGACCCTCCCGCCTCAGACCAGAGGCCCAGCAAGGAGAGCTTCATGGCCATGTTGCACGCACCGGGTCTGAGCCGGCATGGTGCGAGGAGGCAGGTGCCTCTGAGCAATGGGAAGATCTTTCCGCCTGC